ACAGATACTGCCTTTTACGCTATAGAGAAACCTTTCTTAAGAAACTGGCTTTTTTTAAATTAAAAAGTTGGTCTCCATTCTAGAAGGTTTTCAAAACCAAACTGGATAAAGCTTAGGGCAACCTGGTCTGATCTCATAGCGACCTTCTTTAAACAGGAGCTGACTAGAGAGCTCCTGAGCTTCCTCACAACAAGAAATTATTCTATGATCAGGTTAAATAACATTCAAAAACAAGAATTTAAAAAAAAAAGTTACACCCCACCCCCCAGGACTACTTTGTAAGGAAGCTATGCACAACCCTAAAAGAACACCCGAATACTAGAATTTGAGTATATACACAAAAATTATTAATTCAGAACTTTTCCTTAAAGCCAACGAGTTCAGCATGATCCACAAAGTATCTTTACTGTAACATAGCTAAAATATTTAAGCTTGTAGAAGTGAGTAGTTTTAACACACAAATTGAAAAATCTACTAAACAGATTTCTGCATTAAATTTTTAATGAAAACTCAATGAAGGAACACGAGCTAGCAGCATGATTTTTGTTTGTTCTTCATTGTACAGCATTGGATTTACATGCAGCATTATTAAATGGTAAGCTATCTAGACAGCAGCATGTCTAAGATATAAACATCATTTGAAATAAGTCCATTTTTACTAACGCAACGAATCAAAATTCCCTATTAAAAATCTGTTTGAATACAAAAATAAGAATTTTAACGAACAAGCAACAAACACACACATAAATATTGTCTGATCAAAACATTATGTAATACAAATTCCAAGTTTATGTATTACAAGAAAAAAATGAGGTAACAGGTTCGAGTTACGATGACAGAAAATTGAAGAATTTCAAGATATATCTCAGAAGAATCCTCTTACATTTTGTTTCTGAAAGTGTGTTTTATCAGCTTCATAAAGTGCCAAAAATAGAATAAAGCTTGTTATAAACAAATGTATTCTCTTCAAGGGTGAAAGAGCAAGTTCACCAAATAGTTAACCAAAAAGCCCCAAAAAGTAGCAGTTGCAGAGTTCGCCAGGTACACTATTCAGTTTTAATATTTGAATTATATTCTAAGGCTGAATAAGCTTAGTATAGTATTTCTTTGGGCTTATTCAGATGACCAGGAATTGTATACTATGCACAATCAAGATTCGAACTTTTAAATAAAAGCCAGTCACATCAAAAGTAGTCAAGATTTTTTAGCAACTTTTTTCTCTCCAGACTCCATTTTATGAACAACAGTTTTCAGCTAGAAAAAATAAATCACAACTTAAAGAACATGGAAAACATTTTTTTAAACAAGGAAGACGTCTAAGGAAACTAAGATTTACTTAAGAATGATAATATGTACTTTTTTTTTTTAGTCTTGATTATTTTAAATATTAGATTTGATAAATTAGCTTCTGTTAGAAAAAAGCCTTCCTGGACTAGCTACTGTTCAGAGCAGGACTGACCAGTGCCTCAGCCAAGGCAATTTTTTAAAAATTAGAATTTAAAAAAAATTCTAATGCCAGGCTTAGGCTATATTTTATATTCATTCATTCCAGCAGCATTAGCTCATGAGAGCAGTGCTCAGGCTACAGTGTATTACAGGATGTGAGAGTTTCCAAGCAATATTACGTCATAATTCAACATTAACCATCATAGATAAGTTTCAAAAAAGGCAAGATGTTTAATTACAAGAGTTTATCTTCTGTGCAAGGCTCATAACTGCTTAATATCCTTATCTCTCAAGCAGTTGACTAGAGTTACACTGCTTGAGAACAGCATTGAGACTTTCCAGATGATGATAAATTGAAGCAACTAGAGTTCTGCTCTGTTATGCTCACTGTATATGATCAGGATTTTAGACATATACTGGAGGATGTTAATTTCAATACTTACAATTATTTACTGAAACAATAAGCAATCTGAATTCTAATAATAAAACTCTGGTGACTTAAGTAACACTGGTTTTTGGCTTTTGGTTATAAGCAGTCAGAAAATAACTATAAATACAAATGTAGTCTACACTTAGGCTGCTGAAATAACAGGCCCCAGCTACTTACACTGAGACATAAAAAGTGCAGAGAAGAATGCTTGTAGAAGAGGACATGTGGCCAGTGAGTACATGTTATAACAAAATCAAATTGAACATTGTTCAGATGCGCAAATTAAAAACGGCAAGTAGTAAGATGTAGACTAAAGCATGACCTCCACACTTGTGATTTCTGACCTTGTTAATTCCCGTCAGACCCTTCCAGCTCATATAAAGGCATGAAAACCCCTTACATATATTGCTGTTTTGACAGCAACTCCCTTCGAACCTCTACCCCTGTCCTCTGCCACAGAGCCACCTGCCCTCAACTGAACCTGCTGAGCCTCTTGGCAGCAATGCAGTTTCCACCTCACCAGCCACCCTTGCTGTGCAATGCCGAGACACCTCATCCTGCCCATGAAGCTCCAACACCTGCTCCGTGGCTGCCCGAGCTCCTGCCGTGCAGCCCCACACGTGCCTTCCCTGTGCTCCAGCCTACACTGAGGACCACCCTTTGGCTCTTCACAGGATAAGTATGTGCTGTCAATGCCAGAGCAGAATATAGCTTTACTATTTATGGAAGAAATGAGCTTGTTACGGTAGTGGTATTTCAGTGAAGCATAGCCAGCCTCAGTGACTCTCATGTCCTCTACAGCTGAACTCACTAGAGGGAAGACCACAACACCTTTTCTTTTGAAAGCTCCCAGTGATTAATCAACAGCTCCTGGAGTAAAGGCAAATACGTAAAAAGCATTGCCATGCCCAAGACAACACTCAAATGCCCTTCCAGCATTACCCTCCTCACCCAGAAGTGCTGGCTGAAATGTAGGGTGCAGGAGGAAGAAGTTCAGTCATCGGCAGGAGTTGCCAGGATGCACAAGGAAAGGGCTCAGTTCAGCAACTCATCTCCATCTCACATGGAGTGCCACCAACACACAGCATCATCAGAAGGGCAGGGAACAAGGAGTAGAATCCCTTTCAGTACCCATAACACAGATAAAGCCCAGGGAGCCTCCACTGATTGGGGAATAAGGTTTTAAATTTAATTTTCTTTTTTCTTTTAAATCAGGGCAAGCAGACTGCTTGCAGAAAGCACCTTTTCAGCTAGCACAAGCAGCTAGGTATGTCTACCTAATTGCCAATTTAGTATTATGAAATGCCTCTATAAAAACATGCCCATTTAACTGGGAATAACACAATCCTGGAGGCTTCACTTTCCATCTTTCATGCTTGTGTTTCACACATCTTTTTTATTTATAATAAATAAATCATCTTTATTTATTTATAATAAACACCTTATCTAGTCCAAAATTCAATCTATTTCAAAGGATTTTAAAAATTGTATTTTTTCCAGTAATAGCTCACTAACAGACTTGAACCTACCATTCGCAAGACAAAACTCTGGTCTTTCGGGAATCGTCATCAGAAGTGACACTCAAAATACAGAGTTATTGTCAGAAGACCAATTCTAGCTAGTGGTATTTAACAGGACAAAAAACAACCGGGCACTCATACTGCATACAAGAAGCAGACAGAAAAATGCAAAGCACCTATAAGTTTTGTAACCTCTATTCTACACCAGAAAAACTACAAGTGGCTAGTTTCAAAACACTTCTTCAGTCATGCTCAACGCAGAGCAAAGCGTAGTTACTATACTTGTATACCAGAAAACATATTTACATAAGCAGAATGACAGGGAAGATCTTGCAGCTATCATTTTCTAAAAAAACCCAAAAAACAACACTACTTATACGTGGATTTTATCACAACTCCTTTCCACAAAAATATTGATAAAGAACTCCAACACACAAACAGTTCAAATGAACTCATTACAGAACACTGATAGATATGCCACATTTGTAATACTCATTCAACATGCACACAGTGCTCTTACAAACCACCATTTCTTCTAAAACTTATAATAGATGCACTGGTGACAGGTGAAGTATAAAAATAAACACAATCACTCTGTTAAAAAATTACTGTAAAATTATAAATTTTTTTATAATTTGAAAATTTATATTTTTTTTTTCCAGATATGCTTAATGGTATTATTCTCTTACAAAAGACAAGAAATTCTGCACAAAAGACAAGAAATACCATCTCTGCTCATTCTGAATTGCATGACATCTGACATCCTAGTGTTCCCCAAGATTAAGATCTTCAAGAGCTTTTAAATGCTACTTAAACTGTATTTGACATTGTTTAAAAAAATAAATCCAGTATTTCTAGTTCTATTCTAAGTTTATTAAATGTTTCAGTAACTCTATGGTCTCAATACATTATGTGTTTTATTGACAGTGACCCATTTACAATCATTTCTAGTAGGTGAGATATATCCATCTTAATAATAACTCACTATTTACACCATTAAATAAAAATTCCTATCTTTCTTAACAGAGCACAGAATTCCTAGTGCAACAAATTATAATTCCGTCTGAAGCAGAACTACACTTCCCGTATTTCGAAAAAAAAAGTTGAAAAATCTTTTCAACTGTCAGAGAACTGTTCAATTAAGGGTTGCTTTAAACTTCATAATCCAGAAGTGTTGTAAGAGTCCCTTTTCTTCCAACAACTCGTCAATGAAAAGCTGACATCCAGTCCTGCCAGTCATTTAAAGAATATGTGCAAAAATAATTTAATTGGAATATTCTATGAAGCAGTTAATATTACTAAGATCTCAGACAGTGAAATAATGCTTCCTGTTAAAGGGACACCTACACTAACCAGTGCTCAAGGGCTTGCATTAACTTGATTAAACTATAAAGTAACATTCCCCAGATCTTATTCCAAGAGATTTTCTCATACATGTTCTTTTCTTAAAACAAAGATTATATTACAAATTTGAAAGCCAGTCCAGTGGTTTTGGGGAGGGGGGTTGGGTTTGGGGTTTTTTTCCACGCAATATGGAAGAAGGTCCCTTTAACAAGGAAGGAGACAAGTATCACTTAATGAGGATGTGGGAATGGAATCTGTACCTATGGGTAAATGGCAATGCGTTCTGGGTTGGTTCAGCCCTTGGTTCCGAGTTCTGCGTCACTTCTGGCGTCGCTCTCTCGTCATCTGTCCCATTAATACTTTCTGGTGTCAAAGGAGACTGAATATCACCTCCAGCTGATTCCTTAAGTAAAACAAACAACACATTAAAATTACAAACTGACTTGCTCAGGAAGTGCTTGTAAGCAATAACATTAATTCTTAAATGATCCACAAATTTTAGGTAGTATTAATGTGAGGCTCAGATTTCCAGCATCCCTCATGGTAATATTTCATCATGCGAATTTAATTTAGATGTATATTACCATAAGATGCACATTATTTTGTACAAAACACAACCAACTTATGAATTATTTGCAAGTATCCAGCCTCCTGCTTACCACAGACCTCTCTGTACCTGATATTACATTCAGCCCTCATCCTGCTAGGGTGACTATTGCCACCCAGGATTCTTGTCTCTTACTTTATATTCTAACACAGCAAACCAAACAATTCTGATACTTGTTTCAAAATCTAGTTTTCACATTGCTTATCAACCAAAGTGAACAGTGGAAGGGCCATTGGTGGTCTGCTCACAGTTTCACCTATAAGCCATCTGTAAAGAATATGTGTTCAGCAAAGTCCGTGCAAAACTATCGTGGCCTAGCTCTTGCTGGTGATGCTATCATCTGGGAAGAATACACCAGCTACACCCAGGCAGTTTCTGCTACTGCTATGTAACTGGACACCTGAAAAATTTAATGGCTGCCTTCCAGTAGAAGGCACTGGTGCTGTTTTAATCACCCTTTGTCGCACCAACATGTTTATTTGTGTTTTGGCCAAAACCCACCATTTGCTAATTTCTAGTTACTGAAAAGTACCTCTTTTTTTATACAAAGTACGCCGTGAACAGTACAGACTTTTCAGTCCCTGTGGTCTAATTTTAGTATTTTCTTTCCTGTTATATTCTTTTTCAAGTAATGATTTTTGCAGGAGATATGCGAGTCATATAATCCAAGTAGCTCATGTCAATTTTAAAATGTCTTAGCACGCTTTTAGTAACCAAGTGGTAACATTTAACTCTAAGTCAGAAGAATTGCATGCATAGAGTTCAATGGATGTCATGGAAGGGTGTCTGTAAGCAGAGGACTGGTTGAACTACAGTATTTCCAAAAGCTAAACATGTCCTGTGGCCACACAAACTTCTACCATCTGCATGGGGAACAGATAAAACTGCTATTTAATGTTACTGAACTGAAGCACAAGCACAGTCTCTGGAAGGCTAGCAGCTCCTCTTCCCATATCTTTAACACTCTGCATTGGAAGTCGTAGGACAGCCATCTCAGAAAGAATTGCAAAATATCTGAAGATAGTCGTGATCTTAGATGATGGGGGTTTAATTTTCAGCCTCCATCTGTTGCCTTCAACTAGTTGACAAGGATAAGGCTTTTTGAAAGCCAGTACTGAATCTGATCCTCCAACTATAGGAAATGTTGTCCTTGACTTTGAGAGTCAACTAGATAGAAAAACAGTTCTTTCAAAGACAGTAAGGTGTAGCTGTCATCACCACCTTCCACACCCTTCTGCTGTCCCTTAACCAAAAATATTGTTGTCCAACATTTTTACTGCACCTTAAATCACATTAAGCATTTGCAGCACCATTATAAAAATTTTGGATTTATTCTCCATATTTCTCACAGTGACAGGTATGTATCTCACTCTATAACTTGAATTAGTGGCTGATACAACATTTTAACAATGACTTGAAGTTCTATTGTATTTAGCGTTCATCAAGTTACACATGCACCAGTGTCTCCATTCTGCACCTTCTTACTGAATTCCTACTGATTAAAAAGCAGAAATTATTAGCTTACACTGATTTAATTCCACACATATAAACTGTTATTTATAATATAAACGTAATTTTTTTATTATATGAATGTAAAATGTTACCTACTTTCAGTAAGAAACTTGTTATTTTATATACAAAACTACTATCTTAAGTGTTAATATTTTAAAAGTCAAAATGAAATACTGATTTTTACAGAACAACTTTACTTAACTGAAACTGAATTGAAGTTAAGTGTGAAAGGACAGCAGAGCTGTCAAGATAGCCAGGCAAATTATTTTTTTAATATATGAATTACATGGTTTTGTCTATTATGATCCTCTGATTTGATAAACATTTTCCACTGTCATTAAATGAAAGCCTTTATGGACCCAAGAGTTTCTCTTACTTCTTCCTTTTCCCAAACTACCCTAGATATTCTAAAATATACATACCACACCCTACAAAATCTGGATGACTTCTACCTTTAAGCTAGAAGTCCTACAACACTACTACATTATTATTAGATATATAAAGCCAGAGCCTATTTATTAAAATGTTTTAAGTGTGAATGTACAAAAATAATTTCAGAAGAGAAATGGATGTGCAAGTTCCATCTAAGCTTATTTTCCAGTAAACCACCTTCATAGACTTCTAATGCAAATGAAATTCAAGTGACCAAAAATTAATGCAGACAAACATACAGTCTATATAATATCTAAAGGTCCACTGCATGCGAATTCATGAGGGGTTGATTTTGTATCAACAAGAGAAGCATCAGATTCTAGTATGTATTTCTTCCACCAATAATACAGGTTAATCAGTCCTCTCACACACTCACAACCATCCCTGCCTGATAAATAATTCATTTGTCACCAACTATAACGAATAAAGCAACAGAAAAAGGCCACTTATGCTGAACAAAATTTTTACAAATGCTTACAAATAATATGTCCCCATTTCATATTAATTAGAGTAAAATCATTTTAGAAACATTTTTGTCAGATGTTCGTATGTAATGAAGATTTTATTCCGTACCATTATAGCTTCACACACCCACTCCAGACTTTACAGAGTTGGGGAAGAAATCGCAGTCAACTTAAAAAGAGATTTTGATCCTTCCCTTCTAGCTGGGAGAGCAAGTTAACTTAGCTCTAACTATATGTGAAAAACAGTGCTTAAATTGAAATGACAAGTCTTCCTGTAAATCAATGATATATTTTAAGGCCTGATATTTCCCACTCATGACAGCTACAAATAGATATTTCATGCATTTGAGAAGAAAGGATTAACAAGTCTCCTGTGGTATAAAACCACTATGGTGCCACATACAGGTTTCTGGAGGATATTGAACTTCAAGTCATTCGCCAGTCCTGGACTTATGCATGGACTGTGGATTACTATTTTTCTAAATGACAGGGAAATGTGAGGGCCTGACTCAGATATATTTTGCTATTTAAGAGTCTGACAGAGATCTGCACCACCTAAAGGAGCTGTGGCCCTACTAATGAGTATGCAGGACTTCAGTGATGCCAAGCAGTATAAAAATGACAGTGCCTACAGTATATAAACTAAACATAACAGGTGATTTCAATCAAAAGATGCCTTACATTTCAAAATCTATAAACAAAACCCATGCACTCACAAAAGAGTCTTCAAAGTAAAACAAGCAGACTTCACAGCACGGTTAAAGCCACCTTTTAATGGTGACTAAATACTGAATAGAAGAAAAGGAGAAGTAGGTGGTTCTAAACCCACAAACAAACCAAATCAATTCCAGCTTGTTTTCTCATTAAGGATTACACTGTTTTCGCATTAAGTATTCCATACACCTTCCTCATATTGCTATTCTTCATAGTGCTTCTATGTTCAGGACTGACTAGCAATGGCATACGTCTGCCCGCTGTTGATTCAGATACCAGTACAGAAATTCTGTTAACATCCCAGAAAGTTACTTTATCCACAAGCTTTCTAAGTAAATTTTGTACTCCTACAAAGAAAAAGACAAGTGATAAACCACAACTGTTTTGCCAAAACCAACCCACTCCTTGCACTAAAAAAATGTGATCCTAAAACTTTTCAGGCAATAGCTATTCCTAATAATCTGCACAGGACGGGCTCAGAATCAGAGACAAGATTATTTTGAGTAAATTCCTCACCACACAATTTCAGAAATTAACAGGGGTCTTCATCTGAAATAAGCAGGGTCAAAAGAAGTATCTAAGGACAGATTCTTGCTTAGAGAAAAAGAAGAACTGAGGTTCAGACTCCAGTTGATTGCAAGACTGATGAGGTGAGACTGCAAACTGCACAAACTGCTCTATTTGGTTCTGTACTTGAACCTAATTAAGATTAGTTTAAAAAAGAAAAAAAAAAAGGAGGCACACAGTTTTCAGGCTATTCCTTCATGCCACTTAGTGAACTCCAGATTGAAGCATTGCTCTTCCAATGAACAGCCAAGCTTGTAACTGAAAATACACCATGGGTGGCTTGTGACTGTAAGATCTATGTGTTTATGACACAAGCAAAGTAATTCCTTATATTAAAAAATGGGTCTGCGAAATAGGAGGTGGCACAGCAGGGGAGCCAGTATTGTAGTTTTATATAAACAAGATAAGAGCATTGCAAAGCTTTATTACCTAAAGCTTGAGTTAAAGGGACGCCAGATGGGGTACATATGTGCATAGGTGGTCTTAGAAGTACCAAAACAGACAACTTGTTTCTAGATGGAAGCCTCCAGATATAGATAAAGTGTGTATCATCATATGAATCCACCTTAATACAGATGGGTTGAAAGCAGAAGTTCTCTGATACAGAAACAATCTTTTCCTTTTCATTTCAAGAAAGCACTGTGCACTTGGTGGGACTTGCACATCAGAAAGTAGCATCTCTCTTGCAATTTGTCGGTCCAGGCCACCATCTTTCTCTGAACAAGACAAGGTCTTTTTACAGTCAAGGTAAATGGTGATTTTATATATTATCTGATATTCTGGGCAATTAAAGCAAAGCCTGCTAGTAAACAGGAGGATAGCAGGCAGTATTAAAGAAACAGTAAGAATGCAGAGTTTAAAATTAGCGGCACAGCTTAGAGGAAAAGCAACTCCTGCTATTAAGTAATTGCAAATTGGGCTATGTATTATTTTCTTTCTATTATGTGTTTCACACACACACACTTCCCAGAAAAAAAAAAGCGCTAAAGAATCCATGCCATCAGATGAAACAGTATATCCAAAAAATACTCCACACAAACTACTACTTCCTGGACTTTTCTGGCAGAAATTTCTAGCCAAATACTACCAACACTTTGCTAAAGCTTGTAACAACTTAGAGAAGCAGCCTAACTTCAGCGGACTTTAGAGAAGACTGGTCCTAAGTTTTAACATGGCTAAGTCTGGTAAGTACTTGAACTACAAATACATATCCTATTTCTGACATCTTTCTGCTGTTATCTCTTGGTTTCTATTTCTTCTTAGTTTCAACAACAATCTTTTGCAAGACATTCAGAATTGAAACTCACACATACCAGTAGTATTTGCAGGGTTACAACAAACAATAGTGAAAGCAAATACCTTGTGCAGGGTTTTGTTACACTAGTGGTAGAGATATTTTAACAAAAATTTTATTTCAATCTGTAGGGGCAAATTGAATGCAGAAAAAAAGCACATACACTTTTTCTGGTTTAGAATGGTGTAGCAGAGAGGGTGGGCAATGTACCACATCTGCTATTTTAATTAACTGGTAAATAATAAGGGCATTTTTTAAAGCAGTACCAGGAGAAATGTAACATTTAATTTAAGTTTGACATGTACATTTTCCAGGTTTGATATGTAGTATCTTCCTACCTATTTGAATACCAATACAGGGATGAAGGGATTGAGATCAGCCCTGTGGAGAAGGACTCGGGGTTGGTGGATGAGAAGCTGGACATGAGCCAGCAGTGTGCGCTTGCAGCCCAGAAAGCCAATTGCATCCTGGGCTGCTTCAAGAGATGTGTGGCCAGAAGGTCAAGAGGGGTGGTTCTGCCCCTCTACTCCGCTCTGGGGAGACCCCACCTGGAGCACTGCATCCAGTTCTGGGATCCTCAGCACAGGAAAGACAACGAACCTGTTGGAGCGAGTCCAGAGGAGGGGCACGAAGATGGTCAGTGGGCTGGAGGGACCACAAAAATTATCAGGGAGCTGGAGCACCTCCCCTATGAGGACAGGTTGAGAGAGTTGGGGTTGTTCAGCCTGGAGAAGAGGAGGCTCTGGGGAGACTCTACAGTGGCCTTTCTGTCCTTAAAGGGGGCCTATAAGAAAGATGGGGGCAATCTTTTTAGCAGGGCCTGTTGCGATAGGACAAGGAGCAATGATTTTAAAATAAAGGAGGGCAGATTCAGACTAGATGTAAGGAAGAAATTTTTTAAAATGAGAGTGATGAAACACTGGAACAGGTTGCCCAGAGAGGTGGGAGATGCCCCATCCCTGGAAACATTCAAGGTCAGGTTAGTTGGGGCTCTGAGAGACCTGATCTAGTTAAAGATGTCCTGCTCATTGCAGGGGGGTTGGACTAGATGACTGTTAAAGGTCCCTTCCAACCCAAACCATTCTATGATTCTATTATTAATTTAATGCAGAGGGATAGCTGCAAGTCCAAGACAGCAGATGGATTGACACTTGTAGCTAACGGGGTTACCGTTACAGAGCTCACCACTCACACTACCAGTGCCTTTCCTGTCAAAGCTTCCTTAAAAAGCCAGGCTCCTGTGAAGTTTTGACTGGCCACTAAAAATACATCCTTTCTCTTCTACTCTCCCTCTCTGCAAAGGATCACTATGCAAAAAGGACAGAAGAACTGTAAAATGATTAAGAAAGGCAACAAGTGAAGTATTTGCCTTGAGCCACTTTTTGGCAGATGATCAAAATGACAGCAAGTACTCCTTAAATGTCTCTCAGGTCCCACCTTCCCTCCCCACTGCTAAGCACCCATCTTCTCCGGAGGTCATAAATCTCTTTGAATGAGCCCCAGTGCCATGGAAGTGCTGCAGGCTGCCATGAAGCCATCACTTCTCATCTCCTCCAAACTCCGAAGTTCCTGATTCAACTCCTTTCTCTCTGGGGAACTAATGAGAAGCATTCAGTATGTGAAGGCTATTATGCTGATGTGTCAGCACTTGCAGTAACTGTATCTTTCAGAATAATACGCTAACTTATCAACACAGCCAAAAGCCAAGAGATGAAAAGTAAGGCCTGAATATGAAATTATTCCTAAGTGTGCAGTAATTAAATTGCAGCTTTCAACGTGCATTATAGAATCGCTCAAGGTAACATTTCTGTAACTGCCTAGAGTATAAAATGTTTGGTTCCAAGTATAAAAGGAAATCTGTACAGGAAAATGAACAATATTAATAGCTCATATAGTTCAAGAGAAAGCTTTAACCCTGGGCAGCCGCTGGATGAAAGTATCTTGTGTCTGAGTGAGTCGTTCAAATTTATGTACAAATCAAACAATAAGTCACGCCATTCGACAGAGTCAGATTTAACTTCTGAGTCCAGACTATTAATCAACATGTCAAAAGAGAAGCAGAGTAATTGTTTTGCCTATAATATCAAGTAACCAGAGGCCTGGCTGCAGCATTTCACTGTTTCTAAAGCCAAGTGTGTATTAGGTTATAATACTGAAATACCTACTTCCATTATCTCTGTGTTTATTTATGGAATTTACCAGAAATTTAGAGACAGTCAAGAAAACTAATAAAAAAAGATTGTGTTATCTTTCTTCTGTTACAGCAGAGAAAGCAGTTTCCCATTAATAGCAAAAGCCAACCTAGCGTTTGGGAAAATTCCTACTGGGAAAACATGAGGCGGGTTCATTGTGTCTACTATTGTGGTTTCCTCTGACTTCACTTGGAAGGACAGCAGAAGTAGCTTTCAAGTGGCAATAAAATTATTCATACAGCATGTTGCAAACTGTCTGCCACCCTTGTTCCATCAAAGATCAGGAGCATATCACAGTGCAAAGCACTTAAGAGATGCACTGATTCAATGAATGAAGACTCCCCAGACAAAAAAGACTCAGCTGCATCTAGTCTACTCAACTCAGGAACCCCTGCCGTAGTTTTAAAACTGCTTCATCCTCCAAGAGAAGGAATTACCTTTGTCTCCACTATTGCTTACAACAAAGCAAATAGCTGCACACAGAGCCAGAAACAGGGTATAGGGGGCAGGTGGTGGGAGAGGAGGGGCATAAAAGCTCCATAAAATCTCTTTTTCAAAGCAAATTCAAAGCACTCATTTTCAAGTAAATTAATTTTAGGCATAACTACTGTAAATGTGACCATATTAATTTATTCTCCTGTAAGGCCTGTATTAACCCAGTTCATATTCCGAGATACCTTTTACAAACTTCATTTACGTCATGCAATAAAATTCCAGAACCAGCATGTCAATCAGTCATCTTCCTTCAACACATTTCCCAAGCTAATATTACACAGTAGGAAATGAGCAAAAACAGTTTGCTGTTTTAACTTTTGATTTTTGTTGTAATGATTCTTCTACAAAAGTTCTTTACAGTGCACCACCTGAAGTTTCATAGATAACAGCAAGAAAAAACACAAAAGGTGTTTACTACATATTTTCTTACATAACTGCTCACTATGTTTACTCATTTTCTGGGTTAAGATCAAGGAAAGGAAGGGAAATGAACAAAAGGCCAATTTCATTTTAAAGCAAGCCTCTGATACCTCTGAAGTGTATGCTAAATGTATTCTTAGACTTCTTGACACTTCTAGCTGACTGTTGGAGAGGATTCAGGGTAACTGGGTACCCTCTTCATTTTTAATACAACATGTGTGTGTAAGATACAATACAGTTAGTAGAACACATATGAAGTACTAGGTTTGAATCAGGCAATAAGACTCACTTGAGAGGGTGTACTTGTTAGCTCCATCTTTTCTTGGGATTTTTCCTTTGCTAGTCGTGCAGCTTCTTTGAATTCCTGAAATTTTTCAGCAAACTGAAGGTACATATGTTTAAAAAAAAAAAAAGCAGAAAGAGTAGGCGTGAAGTAGTACATTACATGCAGAACAGAATGCTGTACTTAATGTTTTACAAAGTCAAATTCTGTCAGTAGAATTCTTAATTTTTTATCCTTATTAGATACTCATTTAAGCGAGTTACACAGTGATATACCTTTCAGTACCTTTCAGACATAATGTACACTGTTTATATGTCAGGAATATTATGATGCAATGAAGTTCAACCTGTTGCTGACAGTGTCAAAAAAACTAACCTCAGAGATGGCTAACGATAGCGACAAGCTGCCTTACACAGCTGTTTTCAGATTCAGGTTTTACTCTTCTCCTGACAACAAATGATCTGGTTCTGATGCCTATTGTGGTCACTATTAGCACAGAGCTTTCAATGCGCTTCCTTCTTTCACGACTGAAACAATACCCATTTCTTCACAAATTTTAACAGCATTTATAATTTCAATAGCTAATTAGGAAAGCAGCAGTGGGAATATTGAGTCGAGTTCATTTCTTGTTCATTGACATCAATCAAGTTAAAGAACAAATTCATTGAACTAAACATTTGCATATACTGAACACTAAATTCAAGAGCTGCACACTGAACTGCCATATGAAGCTTGATTTCTATGCTACATGTAACTCTTCCAGAAAATAGCTAAAGCAGCAATTCAGAAATACATCCACCCTTAAACTTGATAGATTAAATCAATTTATTAAGAACAGGGCCTGGCTTCTACAGCTAAAGAAAAATTTGGCTTCATAGACCTCGTCTTGACAGTACACTAATTGCTATAGTAGCCAAATATTTGGTTTTGTTTGCTTCTGCTTTTATACAGAACATTATTTTAATATGATCAGCATAAGACTGAAATGATTCTCCAAAACCATTGGAAGCTTCACCAACAGCTTCTAAATCTCTCTGGCAGCAGCATACAAAGAAATTCTTTTGCATTTCAAGTATTTAGAAGGGAAAAGGCTACCCTTTGCATAACAGAATGTCCACAACTATTTTCAATCAGAAATTCATTTGCCGTGCAAGACCTAAAAACCTTATTGTCTTTAAACTTCTTCTCCTGGTAGGCTATTAGTATTTGAGGAAATACAAATTCTCTCCACTTGTATCCTCTATTTCACCTGTCAGGTTATTTAAAACCATATGTTTCCTGAAAATAGGAGACAAAAGATACCACCCTGAAAGTCTAATCCAGCATCAACGAACATCTCAGAACAGATGATAAAATTGGCAGCAGATGACAGAACTATATGATACTCATTTAAGGCTTGTACATAGATCTCAAAATCTGATGGGTAACCTATTATTTAAATCATCTTTAAGATCAGAAGATTGGTAAATGGAAACCAGGATGCTGAGGTTTAGAATAAATGTCTGAAGACATACAGGTAGTAAATATGATCTTCTGTAATACAGTGGTAGAAATTGTAAAAAGATATATAACAGAGAGATAAATAGGTAACATTCAAAGAAAAAGCCAATAAGGCTAAGGTAGTGGAAATTTTCACAAAATTCCTTGATACAGTTAGGGGATGGATAATAGCAATCTCTTGGCAGAATTCCTGAATAAGGAAAGGTGAGATCTCATGGCATGAAAGGAAAAATTCCCTGGAGCATCAGTACTTTAAGGAAAAGATGAAAAATTGGGCAGGGAACTACAAGACGCTCTTATAAGCATCTGTGGTGGCACTTTTGCCATTTAGCATACTCTTCAGTTACACAGAATAAATCAGGTCAACTAATTCAAAGGGGTAAGACAGACAGCAAAACTGAAAAGGAATATTTCTTCTCAATCATAAGGATACTATCAAAAGCACAGATATATTCTGAATGAGAAAGTTGTCTCATTTTTTTCTGAAAATCATGGGACATTCTGTTTCTCTTACTACAGCAGTAAGAGGGACCCTTCTAGCAAACCCTGATCCTGTGAAAGGAGCATTCTTCAACACAGGAAACATCTTTCAGGTATCACTGATTTCTGATGGAACCACCTTGAGGTGAATTTGTGGTCTAACATATTAAGAAGATGTCTAATGAAATTAATGTTTAATTAATTTTCTTCTATACTGATTGTATGTCAAGTTGACTAGAGTGCCATTATTCTTCTACCAGATATTCTCACTCTGCTAATTCTCAGTCATAATAACTGTTCAGAAAGAGGTTACCGCTATTGCACCCTACTCCAGTAATTACTTTAGGAGGACAAAGGCACATGAACAAAAACTGAATAGACAAAAGTAAAACATTTACTATAAGCTAAGCAGACAATGATGTGAGAGTAAACAGTTTATTCTATCTGCTCAGATTATTTGCTTCATTAAACTGTCAAAATCAGTCACAAACTATACAAAGTTTTTTGTGGTTGCAGGCTGTGTTTTGCTTCCTGGAACTTCAAATATTTCATTGGGGCCCAGAGACACTACTGCAAAACAGATTATATACAATGGGGCTGTTCACTCAAGGACTTTAATAAATCAAATACAGAAAAGAAGTTCCAGAATCAATTTTTACAGCAACTTCTAGAAGCAACCTCTTTCTGAACAAATCCATTAGTACAGTTTATATGTTAGTCCTATTACTATTATCCAGTAGTACCTTGAGCCCTAAATTAGATTTCATGTCTTACAGTGCTAGGTGTACCAAAGATGCTCTGGTAAACCTGACTATAATGCCAGTGCACAGAAGTGAGAGTTAGTAATCTCAGCAGAGACACGTGACAAGAAAGAGAATATAGATGTGATTTCTCTAAAGCTAAACCGCAGATCCAGTGTATCTAATTCAGCCTTTCTGATTCCAAGACCAACATACCTAAATTGCAGTGACTGAATAGACTGTGATCTAAAGAAAAGTTTCCTTTCCCCCATTTAATATGTTTGTTAACTTTAAAATAACACAAAAAGTTTTATCTTTATGAATTTCAGCAGCAACAATCAGCAATTTCAACTCACACGAATACTGGTTTGATAATTAAAACATAATACAACAGAAACAGTTTGCTGAAAAGGTCCTGAGGATTCATCACCATAAGCTTCAGAAAAGGACTCTGACTTGGTATATTTCTCAGATTTGCATATTCTTTGCAAAACACAGCAAGACGTTACTTAGGATAAAATATCTACTGTAGCTTTTCAGATTATTTTTTCAACGGCAACACAAAGTTTAAGCCAAGGGCATACTTAAAACTCTAAGTAAAAACTAAAAAGACATCTGTTTGAGGGCAGTGAAAGAATGGGACCAAAACAACTGTAGTTAAGAAGGCAGTAAGCCCCACACGGGAAGGGCAAGACAAGAGTCAACAATAGGACAGGTAAAAAACCCAGGAAGTTTTCACTGGCAAGGATAACCTAGTGTTTAAAGGCAGGCAAACACAGAGCGTGCATGACTGCGGCATGATACTTTGCCTCCAAAGAAGCATTCTGTGACTAAGGAAAACAAGCTAGTCTATGAAAGAGGTAATCTAAATTAGCATTTATGCTAAATCCATTGATATATTATGAAAAGTTATTACCACATTGGTAAGCAAGTGCCTCTAGGATATACACACCAATTTAAGTATGCGACAAAGTTCCCAAGTTCACTGAAGCAATGATAGGTGCACAAACGCACATGAAATATTTGTATCATTCAGAATTTCCTGTGTTTGTGCTGCTTCATGGAAATTAAAGCTATCTTATTATGAAAGGAAGAAATCTCACAAGTGTAACACTTGTCCAAATAAAGCAAATGGACTGGTTCTCATTTTAATGATTTTCTAACAGGCCCATGCTTATCCTTGAATAGTGACAATCACTTTCTCAAAAGGACTGGTATGATTTTTTTTTTTTAATAACAAGCCAATCATTATTCCTTACTTAAACATGTACTATATATTCTTTTTTTGCACTTGAGTTTCCAGATCTTCTGCATACATCAAAGATGAAAATTCTCTGTGTAATGTAGAGACATGTTCTTAAACTGAACTGAAATTCCTCATCTGGAGAAAAATGACACTGGCTTGTAGAGGTTCCTGGACTCATCTACCAGAGTAGCATCAATAGCAGCAGGTGTTGTAGAAAGGGTGCTCAGAGGAGCTATACCATCAGTTTGAGAAACACGGGTTGCTGCTTTCCTTGGAATAAGGCGTACTTCCCTCCTGCACAAGTAGACCAGAAAAAACCCCACATATATGGCAAAGTTTTTTAGTAAACATTTCAACTTTTATATTCCAACAAGAAAATGTAGCCTTCTTTTACACTGACTGTATTTCCCCCTAGCTTTATTTTAAGCGTGCATACACTGAAATATCTGTAATTTCATGCACTACCTAGCAGAAAAGTGAAAGAGAATACGGCTTAAAAGACAAAAATGCATTTGAAGACTAACAACAACTTTTCTTCTAGGAGATCTAAATACAGAAGCAACACTAAATTGTCTACTCCTTTAAATTCTATCATGAAAAACTGTAATGAAAGAACAACTTTAAAAAAAGAGAAACCTAACAAATAATTAGAAAGTGTTAACAACATACACTGTGATATCTTAAATCTCCCCCCTTTCCTCCATCAGTTATAAGAAAATTTGTAGGTATCACACTTTGACTTGTCTTTTACACTATAAGGATAGATACAAAACATTTTTTTGTAAATTATTTTTAAATAATAACAGTAGTGAGCACTGAGTCAAGATACAACCAGCAGGTTTTACTCTTAAGCCGCTTGACTAGCTGAACATTGGCCACTGGTCATACTTACTTTTGAAAGGTGATGTTCAGATGAAAATCCCAAGCCATAGACTGTATTCGCCCTGCTGTCTGCCCACTGGCCAAACTTCTGCGATGTTTTAGTAAATGTCATGTTGGGGGTGATAGTGCTATTTATTATTGCCTGAAAAAAAGTAATAGTTGTAAAAAACAGAGTTTGTGGGTTTGATTTTTTTTTTAAAAGACTATTCATAATTGAAAATGCCAATATTGTAGTCAAGTATCTGTGTGCACTGACTGAGACACACACTGGGAACTAGGAAACAGTTTTCCAATTCAATCATGGCTAAAATTACAAAAGCATATTTTCACATATATTCTGTAAAAGGAGCAAAAGCTGGGGGGGGGGGCACCTGTTTGCAACTGCAAGCAGTCATTTAGTAGCTAGCATATCTAAAAAAGTCCTTTAAAGCATTTGCATATCTGCGTAGGTTAATGAGATCAGAATAGAAGAAGTAGCAAAGTCCTTTTTTTGTCTCACAAGTGTGTTTGTTCCCTAAGGCAACGTCTCTCCAGCCCCATTGTAAGCCTCACTGTTGCATTCCCCCCACACCTGCTGCATACGTGATTCTCACTGGAAAACATACAATAAAACAAGAAGCACAATTTATTTTTAAGCTTCTGTATTACAAGAATCTGGTTTTCCTTTATACACACACAAGCATGCCTAACAGTGACAGGGCCATACACCAACTATAGAAGAGCAGCTACTCTTAGCATCATTCGTCTTCTCTAGTTCTTGCTATATAGAGGATGGAAGAAACACATCCTTCAGCATACAAGTTCTGCTAATGAAAACAAAAAATGTAACTATTAGATGATATGCCAGTTCCACTAAAAGCAACTGAAGTTTTACCACAGATTTCAACAGTATTTCCAACACACTGAAGTTTGTCTAACATACTCTAAATCTGTGATGTGGAACTGTCCAGCTGACTTAAAGCATGTGAGGACAAAGTCTTACAGCAACGGGTTCCATATAACTGAAAAACTGATGATTAGTACAGTTTACAACGAGCCAACATGAACAAGAAAGACAAGCCACAGGCCCAAAGATACGTATATTTGAAGGGAAATGCAGGCATGCTTTCTCATCTGCGTGGTGCTACTAAGAGTTTCAGCCACATTTGTTAAATAATTCACAGTGCTTTTCATGAATCACTGGTGCTTTGTAACACCCACATGAAAGACAGCATCCTTAAAACTTCCCAGAAAATAGCACACAGTGTGAGCAGAACAATTCAGCCAGAATCTTTCTCATGTCAAGTTACTGTGCTCCAAAGATTATTGTCAGTATGTGTCCTACTGCAATTGTCTTACAGCACCGAGTTGGGAATCTCTCGAACATCACTGTGCATGTTTCCTGATTCCACGAAACCATAACCCCCGCCTTACCCCTGGCTGGCTACAGTCAGCGATTACTGAAGAACCCTAGAGCAGCAACAAAATCCACAGGGTCCAAACCATCTTCTCTACTATAAAAAGCAAAATCTTTCTTTTATTCTTTGAATAGCAGGAACTGCATAGATGTGTAGAGAATAACAGTATTTTCTCAGGATGGTGACAGTGAGAAACTTCAACACCAGAGTGACTGAGTACTGCTATCCAAAGTCCAAGATGTTCTAGAAGTCAAAATCAGTCTGTACTACTCATGTGAGACAGTCTTCTGGGTGGACATCAAAATGAGTACTTATGGAGTTTACTTAGCACCCTTTGCTTTCGCTGAGATTTGGGCAGCTACCATCAACATAAAATTTTCTCTGAATTCTACAGGGCAAGCCTGAAAAATTTACAGCTGAGGGGCTGACAAACAGCTCCCATGTGCATGTGGTGATTTTCAGACAAAGTGGCAGAGAGAAGTATTGCAAGAAAGTTCAGAAGAACACATTGTTACTGTAAAATGTAGGAAGACAAGCAAAGATACTTCAGCACAGATGAATTTAACAAAACCAGAATACTCTGCGGTGCCTTTGGCAGTAGCTTTGGCAGCTCCACTACACTCGCACTACATTAGAAGAGCAAACCTGGATGTAGCTGAGGATATCAAACAGGCAGCTCTTTCTGATAACCTTTGCCTCAAAATGCAAGTTTTGGCTACCATTGTGAACAACTTCTGGAAAATTCTGGAATGTCTGAAAGCTTACATTTGAACTTACAAGCTTCATCAGGTCAAGGACAGGATTTGCTGTGTCATCAGAGACTGGAGAACCATCTCCAGCTTTAATTGTCCACAAAATGTCTCCTCAGGTTTTCAAATAGGAGAAGCTGGTCAGTGAAGTCACTGGTGATTCAAACATCATTCTCCTTTCCTTAGGCATAAGGCTTGGAGCCCAAACAAAGCCAGCATGCTTGCACTTGCACTATGGCTTCGAACTGACCTCATAGAAAACAGCTGCCTATGTCACATAGGACAGAAGAAATAATGTGAGACAAGGAGACTGACTTCTTGGAAAGGAGGTGTTCTGGAGCTCTTTGTTTCCTGTATGCTTCTTGTCTTCTTGTGTACTGTCAGTGTCTGGAAGCCCACTTTTGAAATAACGTGGTGGAAACCCAGAATAGAGCTGTGCAAGTTCACTTGATGCTCAGTCTCTCCTGCTGCAGAAGCTGTCTAGAGTAACATGCTTGAAATTAAATATCCTGGGGACAGTGTAGAAAAAGAGTCTTCCTCCCAACTCAAGCTCTACCTATGTTGTCTAGCTTGCTTAAGCCCTAGTTCCATCCATTGCTTGATTATTTTGAATTTATATCACAGATCTGAGAGGCTGTGTATTATGTCATGGATGTAACTTCCTCAATGCAGAAGATGACTCTGAGGACAGGGAATCATGATCTGCAAGCAATAGGTAGGTTTAAAGCCTGCAGGACTGGCATTTGCTGCAGTGACAGTGGCATATTCTGGTTGCAAATTAACCCAGCGAAAAACTTTGGAGAAACTGACCAGTTTTAGTTAAGACGGCTCACTGCCTCAGCTGACCACGTGGCCAGCTGCACAAGAGAGAACCCAGGCTGCCTGGACCAGAATGGGATATCTGTTTTGACTGCAGTCTGCATTTAGGCTGGGTTACAGTGACTGTCAAATTGCTTCCTTGCAAGGGAGAAACATAGGAAGAAAACTTATTTTTAAAAAACTGTATTGAGAAAGACTTGCTGTGATTCTTCCCTCTATTTTCCAGATGAGAAAAATAAGAAGCTCCACTCCAGTGGACAGTATTAGCCTAAAGACAGCAAGTTTCTCACTGGGAAAACTACATTCATATCCCAGTGATACAATAAAGAGTCCTTTCATTAGATTTATCAATTTTACAGGAAAATCAAGGCTTTCAACCCTCTCTGAATTAAAAGCATTAGTATGCTAGATCTCTCACGCTAAATTAATTATACTTTTAAAAAGTGCAATACTAGAGTATACTACAGATACAGTCAGTGTCAGCTACTTCTAGAAAACACTAGATATGAATCCTTCATATCTTCAGCATAAAAAAATAATTTATTTTTTTAATTAGAATTTATAATTAAGCCTGTCTACTTGAACAGGTACTGCTTCAAATGCTCTCCCCTCCATGCCAGATTTCATTGTAGAGTTACCACTATAACAAGTGTTAAATATTTCATCAACTTTTAAGAATGTTGTAGTACAAATGTACAAGAATATCTTAAAAACAGAACAGAGTCAACCTGACAGGCAGACATTTAGCTTTTGAAGAAAACTGATTTTGTTATCTTTAGATTTTGTTTGAATAATAAAACAGCTTTCATGTTTTCCTTTCGTATCAGTTTAGCTATGAGAAAATAGGGCATATGTCTTAACTGTTCATTTTACTGACTGCAAACCCAACAGCTGCAAGATCTACAGCAGTGGTCAAGTACGATTTTATCTTGTGCTAAAGCTGATGGTAATAATTAAGACACATAGTATTTTTTAACTTCTTCAAAGGAAGATCACTGAAGACCTGTGCTTACAGGCCTTACTTAAAACCTGTATTTAGCATTAAACAGGTTATCACTTTAACGTGTGACATAGTTTATTTTACCACAGTCATTAAAATGTAAAGATCATCTGTGGCAGTAACACTGATGGCAGACTTGACTCAGAAATAATATATACAAGGCTCATGGAACTTACAAACTGGAAAACCACTCTTTTCCAGAATCTTCTCTTGTTTTAGATGAGTACAAATTATTAGGGTTTTTTTTCCTATCTTGCATCTGTGAAAACATTATTGGAGAGTTAACTAGTACTGCAGGAACAATGTTAGTTGATCTCTCCTTTCTTTCCTCAGTGACTGATAGAGACTCAACAGAAAAGAAAGAGGGATTCTGGGAATAATCTTAGTGTCTGTCAGCAGCGTTACTGGAGAAACAATGCAGACTTCCTTCCATCACCTAGGAGAAAGAAATACTAAACCACATTTTTCCAAGGAGCTATAAATGACTAGACTATATAATTAACAAGAACTGAAAGCTTCAGCAACAACTGCTCTATATTATCATGTTATATTGCATATGAAATTCTATTTTTCAGGCTTTCTCTTGATTCCTAGAGTGGTAGGATAAAAAGGTCGCATAAAAGATATTTACTCAAGAGGTCACAGAAAACAGCCTTGAGTTCTATCAGACTATTTGCATCAGGATCTCCCTGCCTTGGGCACCAAGGATCCAGATACTGTACGCGGCTATAAAACATGGCCTGGACACTGAACAACTTATGATCCTAAAACACTTTTGAGAGCCGTTAGGAGACGCACCACTTCTTGTGCAAGGTATTTTAAGAGAAGACTGTAGCTTCAGAAAACACCATTACATAAGATACATTAAAAATAAGCAGAACTTGCTTCTATGGGACTATCTCAGCTGAACTAGGCTCATAAGGAGAAAACCCTTTCTATCAAAATACACCAAAGACCCCCATAAGCAAGTTCAAGTGGGAATCTGCAGTGTACAATAGCATCCCTCAGAAGTGAGTGAAGATCATGTCTTAAAAACATCCTTTTGTTTTCAAGAAGGAAGATTCAACGACTTTCAGACAATCAGGACAGCAGTTAAATTTTATACAGGAATCCCACTGAAACGCACTGACCTAAACAGAGGGAAGGGTGTGAGACAGAAATAGGATTATCACTCAAATCTAAAGTATGTATGTCTCAAACTTGCCTTACTGCAGTCTAAGTGAACATACGTGTGAGTTGCCATCACTTACTGACTTACTGCTCAGCACCTGAGCTGCTGAGGGAAACGACAGCTTCAAAACCAATACAGTTTGACTAGTGTTTTTGACCACTGGCAACATATGTATGTGAGACACTTTCAATGTAAAAATCTGTTTTTTAAAAAACCCCACAAAACCACCTTTATTCAGTTTCATTCCAAAACTTAAAATGGGAGAATTTAATTGCATAGCTTTTTCTCCTTTACAAATTTAACACTTCTGTCTGACCAATCAGCAACATAAGGCATTGCAAGCTCAGATGCCTGTAGTGTCACTGACACTCAGCTGTACGCCACACAGCAGAGACACTATCTGGATGCACTCCAAACTTAAGAATACGTTGCATTTATATTTAGCCCTTTGCAGATACTATATTGTATAAGTGCAGCATGTTAAAAAAAATGTGGCATTAATTAAAAATCAAAAAATTATCTGGGAATTATGCTGAAAACCTCCTTAAAATTCTTCCATGGGTCCCCCTGCTATTCACCTATGCATGTTTCAGAGCAGTGTTGTGATGCCAAAACAATGGGGCTTTTTTAATCATGATTGAGATGCTAGATCTTAGTCAGACATCTAACATTTGGATGAAAACATTATTAGGATTGCAGCAATCACAGTAAACAAAAGTGATAAGATTGCATTATCAATACACCTTGTCACAAGTACTGCAAATGTAAGGAAATGCTGCAGTAGACAAAAGAACAAATAAACAGATCAACAATTGCTTGACAATTTAACTCAGCAGTCACTTTGCAGGAGTTGCAGCTTTGGACAAAGGCGGAGCAACCCCAGCAGATACCAGAATAAGGATTTTGTAAACTGTGCAGATTAGTTAAGGTGCTACAGATTACAACTGGTAGTCTTGACTTCAGAGAGCATCTAGTTCCAATCTGAAAGTCTTTATTTATAAACAGTCACACAAAAAGGTATTTTCATAATTTCACAGAACCAGAAGAATGATTTGAAGGAAGGCTGGGAAGAGAAGAAACAAAGTAAAACTTAAACTTGGAAAAATTCTGGTAGGCTTTGATACCAGTCTCAATCACTTACAGTTTTATCATATAGAGATGTTTGACTATGAGATCTATTTCCATATACTTCTTTATGATTTACTCCTTCCTCATTTAAAATAGAAATACTCTGGATATTTAAAAAAAATGCAGGGTAATATTTTTCAGCTTTCAATAAACAGCCACAAAATCTTTGTGAATACTATGGTCTAACAGAGTATTTCAGCTCCAACCATCGTGAACTGATGCATCTCCAGAATTTGTAAATTAAAGTCTCTCCAGAGGATTAAAACTTTTGATTACACTCTGTATATCTTTAATGTTCTTACTGCAGTTTTCTGATACGCTGTTTGCAAACTTACTGTTTTTATACCTACTTGGAGTAGAACTGAAGGAAAAGTCAAGTATTTTCTCCATATCAAATTAATTTCTTAGACAACATTTCTTACAACAGGAGCTCAAGACATTATCCCTCCTAATTAAAAAAAAAAAAGAAAAACACTCCCCAAAAAATCCAAACACAAACCAACTGAGTTTTGATAAAAGCTTACCATGGAGAGCTTTTTTAGGAGCAAATCCTCACATTCTCTACAGCAAAATTGGAAGATTACATAACAAAGTATTTACTAAGCAATTATGGGCACTGAACAGCTGTCCTTCATAATGCTGAAGCCAATTATATTGATGGATCACTGAATGTGGAGATGAACACAGGTTATTGTAACCCTATTTTTACATTTTAGTGCATTTTACAAGGATACCTTTTTAGCCTGCATGTAATATTAATTAACAGGTCATCACTTAAATTCAGCAATACACTTAGCAAAGTCAATATAAACACATGGAAAACAGCATTTTCAAAATGTTTAAAACATGTAATCAATCAACACTACCATTTTAACACATCACTATCTGTTACTCAGGTAATGACAACAGCATCTGAGAAGATACACGAAGGACATCAGACTAGAAAATAAATACAAAAACTGATGAAGCAAGCAAGTTTTCTGAAATAAAACTTACCTTTGAGCCATCCAAACTGATTATCCTGTAGACATTTCTTGTGCTGTCATAGAAGTAGGACACAGTAACAGCATGCTTGCTGGTGGGAACCCAGTTCTTCTTAGTGTTTGGGTCAATCTGGAAGACGTGAGCTCGGGTGCTGAAGATGGGTTGTTCCCTGAAGGACAGAGAGTAAAAGTCATGAATCAAATTTGTACCTAATATCATGGCACACAAGTTATCTGCCAGTTGTGCCTACTGGGATGTCCACGTTTCACTTTGCGTGATAATTACTTCCAAAGAACTTCTGTAAGTTTGCTGCATATAGCAGATAGATGCAATAATACACATATGCAAGCAAAAATGCAAACCTTCTAAGGCAAAAATCAGCACCCAGCTGTAGAGCAGGACAAAGACAGCCACCTTTAACACAGATTCAGTCCTGTCCCATCCTGTCCCTGGGTAGCCCTCACCCTCCATCAATCCCTTTAAACTAACAAGCATTAATACATGTGTAATTTCATCTTATTACCCTACACAATGTGCACAACTTCAAACCCCCATCTTCTCAAAAATCTTTTAATACTCTGATTATTCTAATAAATTTTAGGCCATACTCTGAAACTGAACTGGCTGATTCAATGCAATTACGCTAAAACTAACACTAGTTAGGGCCACAACAACATGTGTTGTGAAATCTTCACTCTTTGGAGCTTCACGCCTGAACATTTTCATGGCAACACTAAATATGTATAACACACATGGTTCAAAGTTAACTGCTTAGCAAGTAAAATTACGTAAAGTAAAAAAAAAACCTACTGTGCTTTAGAATTTACAACTTATTTTCCCCATGATCATTACCAGGACACACAGTATTGCACAGATTTTAGTATCACTAGGCTGGTGGTGTTTAAATTTAGGTAGATTTTAGTGACAAATAGATTGCCATATTCTTCAGGAATGTTGCCATCAAATCCCAAAGATATTAAGTACCAGAACTTTACGCTGGATTTAACGTTTTAGGTTTTTGGATTCTCTTGTTTTCCCCCATTTCCAGGATGTGGAGAAACCTATCTTATGTCCCTGCTCTCATTTCCCTTTAAGAAGTAAGTTTTTAATACGTTTTTCTGCCCAAAACAAAAGCAAAAGAAAAAAATTAAGATTTGGGGTACTCATAGTCAAAGTGTTTTAATCTGGCCTCATTACAAAGGGTTACATGTGAATTCTCAGAAACATCTCTACTGCTTGGCAGCAAGAGCAGCTGAGACCAGCTGCTTTCAACAGCAGGATTGCACTACTCAGCTGGGAGTTAAGGCTTCTGAAAGCTCATTTGCCAGAAGATGTGATGTTCTCCTATGTTAGGCGTTGGAAAAAGTGACAGAAAGGATACAGAACAGACCAAAGACAGTGAAACAGAGAGTTTCAGTGAAAGCTACAGGAGAAGGAAGGCAGACCAAGGGGATCAATGCACATGCTAGTCCTCCGTACAAATGTCACTGTACCCTCAGCACCAACTCATCTTTTCCTTCTAAATCACCAAGCTGTGGGAAGTTGGGTAGCTGTTTTCCTGATCCCAATCCCTTGCACACAAACAAAGGTTATGGAAAAGTGATTTTATAGCCCTTTTGTTTAACTGAATTTTACACTAATTCTTACTGCTCTTTCAAATATCTACAATTATTTCTTCAATCATACTTAAACTTTAGTTCTTGTCTTCAATATTAGATACATTTTGCATTTACCTTGCAATTTACCATATCTGAATGTAATGTGATGCATATTACCATAATGCAAACAGTTCTTTTAACTGGAAATTTAAAGACGCCATCAAACTAAAAACCTTAGAAGCCGGACAATTACTGAGATGAAGACTGACATTGAAATGAGAAAATAAAGGCTCTGACCACACTAACTAAAAAGAAGAAAGAAGAGCTGAATCCAAATTGTAGATGTGTGATTAATGAATACACATTTGACCAGCACTGACACTCAATTCTGTCACAATACAGTGTATCCCAACACTGGGACTTTAACATACCATAGGTTAGGAATTTAATATGTAAAAGGTAGGTGAAAACTATATGATTAAAGCAAGAGTGAGTGCCAGTAAAAGTCCAATTGTTCAGCCCTGAGTTGCTGCTCTCTGCATTGTCAGTACAAAAGTCTTCCATAGCCCCACCTAAATACCCTCAATTTGTTTGATAACGTGGCCTGCATATTCTTGCTGACTGCTCAGCGGTGTTGCTGAAAGACAAACCAGAGCACTTTGCATGGCATGTGTATGGGTCTGGCATAGACATCACGGTTAGGTATGGAACAGCATAAACAAAGCTTACTTACACTTTTTTAATCACTTCTGATAAAGCTAGAGTTACGATCTTTTCTGTCCATGTTTTAACCGAAACTACTGCTTTGCTGAATGACAACCTGTCTTCACTCTGGAAAAAGCATAGCTCCCTTCATTAAACTAGTTAGGTAAATCATGGTTTTGCCAGATTACTGGGGAAATTAGGATTTTTTTCTGACAGACACTGAACTTCAGGTGCCTCTGGAATTAGGCCAACGTTTTGACACCTGGTGATGAACATTTACAATGATTATTTCTTCAAACAAATGGACGTTATGCACCTCATGTCTACAGGACTAAATGTGTTATAGAACCAGTCACTGATATGCCACTGCAGTCTTCAAAGCTGCTGTACAATTAAGTCATCTGTACTTTTCTGCAGCAACATACCATAGAGCTACTTAAATTTTAGATTTACTAAAACATTCAGAAACAAACAAAAGGTAATATATCAAACATATACAAGATCTGTAAATTCAGCTAATCAATCTTTACTCAAACTTTTTGTTCTTCCATTGCCCACAGAGAACATGATGCCCTCCCAGCCTGGAAGTTTTAATTAATTCAGTTGAAGTAATATTAGTTACAGGAGTATTAGTTAAATGGGAGAATAATGTCCTTTTTTCCTTTTTAAGTGCTCCGTCAATAGATATATAAATTATACTCTATCTTATAATATATATAATATGTTTTCATATATATAAATTAAAAAATCTACTTTTGCCTACATAGAGTTGAGACAGGAAGACAAGGACAGCTTTAAATACGAAAAAACAATTCTGTTAAAAACCCCTATCAGTTCCTTACTCTTCCTCTTTCAGCCTTCTCTTGTCATTCTTTCACTACCAGAAAGTATTTAGTATTCATTAAAGACACTAATAGGAACTAAGACAAGAATTCATCACTAATTACAAAGCGAAATAATTCATTTTTCCAGAAATATTCTGATGCTGAACAAAAAGAAAGGAAACTAACAAGAATGCCATAGTAACACAGTTGACTATTAGAAATGTCTGCTCACGCATGGCAGAAATGTTAAGGCTAACATTCTGCTGTTCTTACTTGGCTTAGACTGCAACATTACAGTAATCAAACACAGGCTAAAAAGAAGTAAGTGCTAAGTCCTCCTGGACTTGAGCGGCAATGTGACAACTAAAGAAGCATGAGAAGTGTCACTCAAGCAGGCAGAGTCACACCAGGCTTTTTCATGACTGATACAGAAATCCATTCATTGATATGTGATCAGTCCTATGCTAGGCTTAGGAGAAAAGCCTGTGTCCTAACAGTTGAATGAACAGTGTTTTCAACCACTCTCTCCATTTTGACATCTTAACGCACCCTTTTCAAAAAAATGCAGACCACTGAATATAAGAACCTATGGTTTCCTTCTTCCATACGTTAGTCTAACTAGAGCTTTCACAAAAGAAGCTTAAGTTAGTACAGGAGGTTACAAAGAATTTGCCTTTTTTTAAAAAAAGGTATTTTTTCTTTCATGTGTCTGGTACTTCCAGAAGACCTCCATCCTCTTATTTCTTTCCCCACACTGTTGTTTACCATGACTCCAAAGTTATTTAGATTGACGTACAACTTCTCAAGGCTGGGATTCTGTTGTCTTAGGTACAGTAAAAACATAAGACCACTGAAAAGAAGGTATGAACTTCTACAACATCAGTTGATGTTCTACTTGTGTCCCCTTATGCTGTGTTAATGATGCTAAAAATTTTTTTTTTAATTACACACATCCCTCCCTTCCGCCTGCACACTGAGCTAAACTGACAGTGTTTTGGCAGGGTGGGTGCTGCACCACACGGGATGGCGTCAGGGACTGCCCTGTGCAGACACAAGAACAGACCAGGATTGGGGCTGGAGGCAAAAACAAGAGAACAGGAGATGACACCTGAGCAGGAGCTGAAGCAAAGAGCTGCCCAAGGAGGAGCAGACAGCAGACACAGGAGCAGGTATAACACTGAGGGGACTGTGGAGAAATGGACTAAAAAAACAACAAAAAAAAGGAGCCACTACAAGCACTGACTGCCATCTTCTGAGTGCCACCTGTGGTGAGGGGACAGGAGACCAGGAAGTAGTTGGAGAGGTGTCTACAGAAAAGACGAGGTGCATTTTCTCTGTTTATGTAATTGTATGTCTTCATCTTCATTGGCAATAAACTAAATTGATGTCCTAAATCAAAATGGTTTTGTTGTGCATGACATTCCCACACTGCCAAAAACACAAAAAACAAACCTAAAGCTTTATATAAACAGCCTCTCGGATCCCCAAAGGTGAATGCTTTCAATACACCAGAAGTTTTAAATCTCTAAGCAGAGGTACTTTCCCCAACCAGCAGGACAAAAAGGGATGAATAAGCAGGTCCAGTGTGATGGGGTCCTCCTACTCAGCTCAGCTTTTATAGCTCTGAAGTATCTATCAAGTAATGAAAAGTCCATGAGAATGAACATTTATGTCAATCATTTCAGCAATTTCTATTTTCCTAACACGGATCTTAAAAACTCCAAAGTGCATTATCCAGACTTAATTGTTTTTCATGCATGTGGAGTCCACACAGAAGACTGTTTTCTAGACAAGTCCAAGAAAACATGCCTTGGAAGTCCTTTTCATCACATTTGCAAGTTGCAAACAGAGCAAGATCCCACTCTTCAGGTTTCAGTCTCAGACTTTCAGAGGAAGACGATGCCCTGTGCATTCAAAACAGGACAACATCCATGTGCTCAGAACTGGAGTACAACCACACTCGAAGTTCCCTATCCATAGTGGAGATTGGACAAAAAGTGTGCTTCCCTCAGTCCATTACAGCCACAGGCACAGCAGACCCTGCCACATGGCAGCGTGCAGGCTCAGCACACACACTCTGGTAGTCCTGACTGCAAACTCTCCCAGCGGGCATCACGCACGTTTTTGCAGGTGGTCATTTTGCACACACACTGAGTTCTGAGCCTCTACAGTATCTGTCATCCAAGGTAATTTCTCCCCATATGACAACATGAATCCCCTGGATGATCTTTTGTGCACTTGCTGATTATCTTGAAGACCTTTTTGCTTTTTCAAAATGACAGCATTCCAAGACTACAGCTTTTTCCTAATGCCCTTTACAGTCTTAAAAAATACTCTCCCTAGCTTGTTTTTAAAGCTGTAGCAAGCCTTTGTTGCTCTAAGCAGCTTGAGGAGAGATCCCTGAAAAGAAATTAAGAGAGTGATTAAAAGTGCAGCTAAAGGCAAAACTAATTTGTCAACTGTGGCATCCAAACATGACCAATGGTTTCTCAGGAGTCTGAGTCAACAAGCTCTGCACACACAATTCAAAGCAAAAGAAACCCACAGAATTTTCCTTGTTCCTAAAGATGCTCTGAAGTCTGATAAATACTGCATAGAGCAGCTTGTGGGACAGTATTGCATAACATTGGCTGGAAACTGTTCTGAAATAAAATTTCTTTCTGTACATAAAGTGACTGACAACCTTGAAATAAAAAATAAAATTACAAAGTACTTGAACAAAACATACTCAGCATACTTGTGAAATTAGTACATCTTAAGATTTTGCTTTCTATATTACACGCATACAATAACAACATTAATGTCTCAAAACAAGCTTTGAGATCTCTCCCATACCACGAGCAGTTTATCTAGTTTTGCACTTACATTCTTAGACCTGCTTTTGCTATTATGTTTTGGGTTTGAGTCAGGTTTACTGAAGGTCAGCAAAACCTTAGAAGTTGTTCCTAAAAAACTTGTTAAGTTTTCTGTGTTCAGTTAGAAGCACCTATTTACCCATAAAGTTCAACAGCTTACTTTATAAAAGATGTTCTACAGCTACATAATACTGCACAGAGTACTGCCTTCAAGCTTTTTTCTATGCTTAACAATCAGCTTTTAGTACTAGATCTTTAACCACTTCTCAGTTAGCATACTATCACATATAATACCAGTGATTTTTCAGGATCTGAAGGGAGCAAAATGATCTAGGACTTTTCATTAAACCTGTAAGATTAGGTAAAAAATACATTTACCTTTGCCAGAAACTTTACATACTGTACATTAGGTTTTCAAGGATATAAAGTTTTGACCAACTAAAGTCTTTAAGCCTGAAATCAGATATTGCACAGTGTTTAATGGCCATAAGATACAGGAAGTCAGAAGAAGATCATGTAGTGATCTGCTCAAGTTTACATTTCTACAAAATTAGTGTTTTGTGATGGGTGATCAGGAGACAAGGCCTTGCAGATATGCCACAAGACAGACACCAACCCTGCTGGGTTAATCAGTTTGGCTAGCTCCAACACTTCGCTTTTAAGTTGTAGCCTATGTTTTTAACATTTATTTTTACAAATCTACACTAGATATTTTGGTGCTCAGTATCGCCTATTTTTCAGAAGGAAAGGTTCAAATCCCAGCCTGTAAACTCTGCCCCTTCCCCTCCACCCTTGCCCACACTACAGCATCTATGCTTCTTCATCCATGTTCTTTGC